TGCAATAATTGTTTTTCAAAGTTATAAACATTTTGATTCTGACACATAAATAAAATAAATATTCAATAAAAAAATTATATCTTTAAATATAAATAATGGCAAAATAGTCAACAAAATAATAATTAAATAGTCCTTTGAATTGATATTTTTCTAAAGCATGCGACAAATATTATGAGAGGGAGGGAGTGCTAACTATATCTATAGTATCGACATCCTCAATTTTTTTGACTTTATTTGTGCTTTTATATTTGTCTATAATTTTTTAAAAAGTACTATTTGAGGTGACAACGTCAATAATATAAACACGTAGTTTTACAAAATTGAATTTGAAAGAGGATAAAATATACATAAATATTATCCTTACTTTAAAAGTAGATTTATTATTTTTGATAAATCTCCGTGTCAAACATTTGAATTGATTAATCAAATACAAATTACTTTTTTTTAAGAAAAAAATCTTCAAAATAAATAAAATTTCAGCAAAAGAGTTTATTATATTTTTCATCTTTATCACCCCTTATTGTCGGAATTAGTTGTCCATACATTATATTTTTATTTTACGTTTCAAACGATAATAAATTTACTATTTACAAGAATATTTTATAACTTAGATTTCGAAATATGACAAGAAATTCAACATTACTCCATATGGACACACTAAATTTCAACTATTCTTTTAATATTATTTACATTTATCTATAAGGAAATTTATAACTTTCATGATTAGTCAAATCATATGGAAAAACACTACCATTACGGAAATGTTTTTTAATACGTAAAATATTGCATATGAATGCACGGAAACGTGGAAAACTTTCAAACAAAAGAAGACAAACAAGAAATAACAACAAAATGTATATATATATTTTAAAAATAGAGGGCAACTTATTTTATTGAATTATAAAATCGAATCTTGATCGAAATTTTATTATATTATATAAAATCTAAAAAGTTTGGTACCATTTAGCACTCTCGTTATGTAATGACCCGGAAGGTCATTTTTGAAAATTTTCACAAAATTACCATTTTACCCCTCTCGATAGTTGTCTCGAGTTATTTTTGACTTGTTGGTGAAGTTGGTTTGAGAATTTTATACTATTCGATAATTTCGATTATTTAGTTGGTGGTATTTATTAAATAATGAAGTTTTATTAGTGGGTGATTAATGGGCCAAGTCCAGAATATAAGTAATATCCTATACCACTTAGCCCATGTAAGAAAATTAAATAAATCAGAGTTAAAGGTAATTAATATTATATTTTTAGTCGAGCACGAAAGGGCAAAAAAAATCAGTTGCGGCTAAAATCTGTAACCGAAGGTGACGAAGAGAACATTAAGTGACCTTCTGTTCAGGTAATGTAATCATCATCATTGCCTGAATTTTTTGTATTTGTATATATGGGTAAGAACATATCATTGTTATTGTGAATTAAAGTGGGGTCGTAAGTGGAAAGTATGTATAATTGAATTGCAAGTGGGAATGGATATACCTATTCTAATGTGTATTTATTTTACTTGGAGGAACAAATACCTTCATTGCCATATGGATGTAATCATTAGATAATGATTGGATGATCCTATACTTACTAATGATTTAATAATTACAAGTATTTTGACATTGAATTCACAATCTACAAATTGAGTTTCTTAGACTTAAGTTACTGATATAGTAACTTGACGTTGGGATGTATTTTAATTAATTATTTATTATTATTATTATTATTAAATATTGAGTGTATTATATTATATGAAAACTATTAGGGTTGTTATGTTTAGAGAAATTATGATTTAACCCTAGACTTGAAATTCAGGAAATATGAGATTTGACCTATTGGTTGGAATCAAGATTTAGAAATTTTATTATAAACTTGGGTGAATTTTTGGGTCAGGCTAAACACATAGCAATATGAGTGTTGTTAGTATATATTCAGAATCTTATCGTGGTTACTTATTTGAATAGATTGCTTTGAGTTGGAAGTTCAACGAGATGGGAAGACTCGAGACCCAGAGTGATTGTTCAATTAATTAAGGCAAGTGGATTTCTAAACCCTTGTTAAGTGTATGGAATTCATGTATTTCCTTGTAATATGTGTTTAGGGTAATGAGGCTTGGTGATGGGTGGACTTGTCCACATTGATTAATTCTAATGATGAGAAAGGGATAATAAAAGGCAATGTGATCAATTGTTTGTGTGATGTGTTGAGAATTGTTTGAAAAGCTTGTTGAATCATTGTTGATGTTGTATCCTGATTGTGTTGTTGTGAATTATGCAATGTTATGAAAATGGTCATCTCTTCATTATTTGTGCGAACATGTCATTTGCATTGTTCTGAGTCATGGTTGTGACAAGTGTTATGTGCATTGAGAAAGAATAAGAAAATAAAGAGGATGTACCATTTCGAGGGACGTATCGCGCGCCGCGATGGATACTATATTTCGAGGGACGTATCGCACGCCGCGATGGTTACTATTATCGAGGGTCGTATCGCGCGCCGCGATGGATGCATGGACAGATATGTCCCCCATGGGTCCCGGACTGAGAGACAGTGGGTGTGTATCATTAAGTCAGACATGCATCACTATACTTGGCATTGCATTACACTTCTTTATTATTGGTGAACTTGATCTTGTGTGTTGCTGATCTTGTGAGTGCCTTTCTATGGAACTTATGACTGATGAATATTGAGCTTGTTGTTAAGAATATATGATTGTTAGAATGTTGTTGTTGAGATATGTGCTTGTAAATTGTGAACTGTTAGGTTGGACTGGTTTTGTACAGATTGTATTTGTGAAGGTTCGATTGGGGTGTAAGGAGTACTTGTATTCTATCCCCTTAGCTCGTGTTTAGAGGTTTACTTGCTGAGTACCGTGTGGTTTGGTACTCACCCCTTGCTTCTACAAATTTTTGTAGGTTACGAGCCTGGATTTTTGTGGTATTTGTTATTCTCTTCTTTTTCGAGGCTTCTGGAGATTTGTGAGGTAGCTGTTTGTCTTCTCAGCGATCCTTCTTACTCCTGTTTATGATCTTGTTCTACTCTAGAAACAATGTCATATGAGACTTGTATTTTCCTTTTGATTCAATTGTAATACTTTAGAGGCTTGTGCACGTGACAACCAGATTTTGGGGGTATTTTTAAGTTAATTATGAAATTTCCGCATTTTATTGTAATGGGTGAGTGTTAGGCTGACTTGTCTTGGTGGGATAAGACGAGTGCCATCACGTCCATTTTTGGGTCGTGACACGTTATTTTAATTTATTTATCTGATTTTAATTTGACACAAAAATTTAAGAAAGTAAATAACAAGACTTTTGAATTTTATAGTTTCAAATTAAAGTTAAGTAAATTATATCAAATTATTATTTAATTTTACTGTCTTAACTCTTAAACATGACACACGAAAAGTTCAAATTTAAAAATTATAAAAAAAAACGAAAGAAGCATTTTTTCTTAGGGCCTGTTTGGAAGGACACCCTGATAATTGGATTTTGTGTAATTGGTGTAATTACACTGTCTTCTCCTGTTTGGAACGACACGTAATTACTTGGTCAACAGGTAATTGGTGTAATTGGCACGGGTAATTACACTCTACAATTCACAGGCAGAGGCTGTAAATTGCTGGTAATTACATTGTGTAATTACTACCTGATTACTTTTTATTTTATTTTTTTAATTTCTATTTTTTTTTTGTTTTAATTTTTTTTACTTCTATTATTTTAAGTTCTTTTTTTAATTTTATTATTCTAAAAAATTGTAAATTTTTATTTTTATTTTATATTATTATATTTCATTTTCTTCTTATTCTCAGCCTTACCTTACGTGATTCTATGTAATTTTTTCGTATTATCTATTTCTTTATGTCATGCTTATTTTTCCATTAGCATAATTTTATTATATTCTAATTTTTAAATTACAATATAATTTATTGTTAAGTAAGTTATAGACTTACGTTTTCTTTATTAAGAAAAACTAAAACTAAATCGTATTTATTGCTATGTTGAAATTTGTTATAAGAGTATTATGTTAAAATTTTTGTTTTGAATTTATAACTTATGTTATATTTTCAGTTTCATTTGTTTAGTAATATTGAATCTACATTGCACGTCATTTTTTAATTAGAGTTGATAAATTATATTTTTGTCAAACATTTAATAATTTATGACATTTTATTTATATATTATTCTTTTTATCAAACATGCATTTCACGATGTTCGTAGAAACTTCATACTTTTAGTTGTTACGATCAATTCAATTGAAATATATTAATTTGAAAAAATATAAATCAATTATTTTTTCATAATATTAGTTACAGAAAATATGTTTATTAATTAATATATTTTCAAAAAAGAATATATATCTTAAATATTTAATTTAATGTCATTTATAAAGTTTCTTATTTGTCTAGTTTAAATTTTAAATAATTAATTTTTATTTTAAAAATTTATTATAATTTTATGATTGCAATTGTGCATCCAAACAGAACATGTGTAATTACACTGTAATTACGCTGTGGCAACCAAACATGTCAGTGTAATTACTAGGCCGGTAATTACTATCCTAGTAATTACACCAATTCCAATTACCAGGTGACTTTCCAAACAGACCCTTAATGGACTAATTAATTTTACAATAAAATTAAAACAAACAAATTAAAATAAAAAAAAATCTACTTTTAATTACTTAATATTAAATTTAAAAATATCAATCGAATATCAATCGTTCGGTCCCATAAATAAGATCAACTTCTCCCTTGTGCTGGCGCGTGTACAAATGTTCTGACAAATGTCTCTATGAATAGACAACATTTGTCCTCCTAAATATTCTGCTACTATTTCACCCGCCAACACTAATTTTTTTTTTGTTTCATTCTTCTTTTTCTTTTTCAAAAATTCAATTTTTTTTATAATAATTGAAAAAATTTCAATACCCACTGTTCATTTTTATTTTTTTTAATTTGGGTTTTTTCTTTCTTGTTTTCACCGAACTTTGACTGTGAGATTTTTAGGAAAAAAAGAGATTTTTTTTTATCAAGTGTTCAAGTATGTGTACTTAAAAATTAGTGTTTTTAAGGTTTTCTTGATGATGGGTACAAGGAAGAATCACAAAATTGGATTTAGTAGTAGCTATGATTATTCATTCAAGATTCTGCTTGTTGGAGATTCTGGGGTTGGAAAAAGTAGTCTTCTTCTCACTTTTATTTCACATCATCTTTTTCAAGATCTTTCTCCAACTGTTGGTAAGTAAAAAATTCAAACACCCTTTTTATAAATTTGTTGTTGTTTTCACTTAAAGTTTTGATCTTTGTTAGATATATGTTGTGTTTGTGCTTTTTGTTTGGTTGAGTTGATTGGAATAACAAGGTAGGGGTAGAGGTAAGGTCTGCGTACAAACTGTGCTCTGTGGACCCCACTTGTGGGATAATACTGGGTTTGTTGTTGTTGTTTGGTTGGTTGAGTTTGAAGTTTAATCATTTTTCGTGTCATAGGCGGAATTAGGATTTTGAGTTGATGGATTTTGGATTATAAGTCGAGCTAGGATTTTGGATTATAGGCGGAGCTAGGATTTTGAGTTGATAGATTTTGGATTATAGGCGGAGGCGTGGAGCTAGGATTTTGAGTTGATGGATTCTGAATCATAGGCAGAGCTAGGATTTTGAGTTGACTAGAATTTTGAGTTAATGGATTCTAGATTTTAGAAAAACGTTGTTTATTGGTTCTTAATAAAGTTACCTATGTTATTATGTGGAATTTTTAAATACAAATATAGAGTTTGAGCCAAAGCGGTAGCATACCAGTTTGGCCAAACCATAGGCAGAGCTAGCTATAGCTCTGCACCTGATTTCCACTATGGTTTTCTTCAGGTTACTTTATCGGGGAATGGGACTTGTATTACTCCCCGTCCTATTTTATGTGACACTTTTCGAATTTCGAAATTCAAACAAATCTGTCTTTGATCGTTAATTTTTCATAGATCTTTTGAACATTTTGAATTATCAATTATTGTGATTTATACTACTTTTTATGTAGTTTACAAATATATAAATTTTCGGTCAAACATAAATTGTTTGACAAAGGGAGTAGTTCTTTTGGCAAACTTGATTTGTTTTGAAATATTTGACATTCTAATGATCAATTATCTCTGGAAATTGATTGAATTGCGCTTGTTTATGGAAATAGAATAAGTATTATATGTATTTGCTGTACTTGTGATGCTCTTAATTTCTTTACCTTTTATATCTTTCTTTATTAGGATTATGATGAGTGGAAGTATAGACTAGTAAGACTACCTTTTTTCCGTGGAAAGAATCAAGGCAGAAACGGATTTAGGATGTTAAGTTTATGAGTTCTAATCGCCACTCTTTTTGCTTATTTGTTGAATTTCTTAATACAAATATAGGTGTAGACTTCAAAATCAGGATGTTAACTGTTGGCGGCAAGAGGTTGAAATTAACAATTTGGGATACAGGTAATAAAACATAATTTTGCTGTTATGCTATTTTATATAGGAAATTGTATACAGTACAATCTGTTCAGTATTGGTAGGCGTGTGCCTTCTTCGGAAAAATGCACCGACATAAATTTCATGTTACTCAACTTATTCTTCGTAAAAGTCGCCAATTTCCCCTTTTATGCAATTTCAAGTAAGGGTTTTGAGTATCCGTTATCTCTGTGCAGCTGGACAAGAGAGGTTTGGGGCATTAACAAGCTCATATTATCGAGGGGCTCATGGAATAATTCTAGGTAAGACATCAGAGATAACTGCTCTTGCCTTCTGAATTAGTTTATGATTGATAGATATGAGCTTAATTTGTGTCATTGCTGCGGAGTGAACTGCTAGTTGCTATTTTTAACGTTGTCTAATATTGATCTTTTCTAATCTTAGTGTATGATGTAACAAGGCGAGAGACCTTTACAAACTTATCTGAAACTTGGGCGAAGGATATAAAGTCTTACTCCACGAATCTCGAGTGTATCTTATCCTTGTATCATGATGACGTCGAATGTTGGGTTAATCCATTCATTTTATTGTTTGAATTCACCTAGGATGAGAAACAAAATGTGAAAATTGGTGGTTCATTTGTATTTGAAAAAAATGTCCTATTTACGACTTGGCAAAAAATTACTAAAAGAGTGAAATATTATATTCTCGAGTCACGGTCTGTGAACCTGATCAATGCATGTTACAGCTCCACTAGTTCACTTAGACAAATCAGTCATTTTTTGTTGAAGTTGAAGTGTTTCACACTTTGCTTTTGACGAAAAACATTGCTAAAGCCACTTTAATTGTCTTATGATTTCCGTCCCATCAATCATGCTCGAGTATTCTCATCTCAAGCTCAATTACGGTGAATTTGCTCATTTTGCTGACATAACTTATTTCAGGATAGTGAAAGAGCTGTAACTAGAGAAGAAGGCCTGGCATTTGCAAAGGAGCACAATTGTTTATTTCTCGAATGTAGCGCTAGGACAAGAGAAAACGTGCAGCTATGTTTTAAAGATCTCACACTTAAGGTACTCCTCAAAGGCGCTTTTTCTCCACTATGGTTAAAGATATAGTTGATCGTAGTTTCTTGTAGCCACGTGTATAGATATTTGGTTTGCCAATACACAGGAAGAGGTAAACAAAAAGGGGATAGTGAAAAAAATTTCCCTAATTGTTCGTAGACAACAAAACACAATAATATTTTAATAAGATTTCAGACGTAAATACACACGTCTACAATACCCTTTCAACTTTTCTCAACCCTTACAATTATGTAGAATTGTATCTAGTTATTTCGACATGCAGGGAAACAACTCTTTGTACAGCTATATACCTTCTGAGCTGGTGTTAATTGCTGAAAGTTTGAAATATGAGATATTACGAACACCATACTATGCTTTTTGTTAGTTTGGTTCTTATGCCAAATATTTCACTTTCGAAGCATTATGCGTCTCTGATAGTATATAGTTCAAAGTATCTTAAGACTTGATGAAGCGGCCAGGAGAGACGAGCTTTGAACTATTCTGTGTGATCTCTTCTGGCTGCTTCATCAAATTCGTGAGCTAGTTGTTGCAGCGTGTGATTCCGTACACTTGATGTTTGCTAAAACTGCTCAAATTTCCCTTACAGATACTAGATGTACCAAGTCTAGTGGAGAAAGGTTCTGCAGTAGTGAAAAAACCAATCTTGAAACAGAAAGAAGTGCAGAAGTCTCAACGTAGCGGAAACTGTTGCTCCTAGTTGATATACTTGTGCTAAACTATACTGAAGTTCAGAGGAAAACTCTTGAACGGAGCGTGATGCTCGTTACAAGGATGTGCAGTCAGACGACAAGCTCATCGTTCAATCTAGTGAAGGTACTGTTCTTTTTTTCGCTTTACGTTCGTGTACTTAGATGTAAAGATTTATTTTTTTTCATTTGCTAAAATCTTTTACAAGAATGGTGCTAGAAAGCCTCTTTTATCTCATGGGGAGATGTAACAGGACTTGTACCAAATGAATTTTGTGGCTTAAAGAAAGTTGTTCAATATAAACATGTACAATATATATATATATATATATATCATCATCTTGTGGAGAGATGTACAAGTTTTGTATCAAAACAATTTTTTTTTTTGTTGTAAGTAATATTTCTCCTACTTTCTTATTCTTCGATTTGTTATTACGCCTGTTGTTTCCTTTGTTTCGGTTATTGTATTTTCTCTATTGGATTTCTCTCTTACCTGCTTTGATATGCTAGACATAAGTCGAAAGTTTATCAAAAATAAGGATGTGAAGGTTGAGGTACAGATGGAAGACTACGTACACATCACCTTTTGCGTTGGTGGTTGTAAAAAGTTGTACATTGAAAAAAAGTACGGAGTAGTAAGTACTTCTCCATTATTAATTACAGGTTTATGATTTGAGCTCGGGAATAAAATTCTTTTTATTGATAGAGTAGGAAGTACTTTTTCATTATTATAATTAAAGGTTTAAGATTTGATCTCGCGAATAAAATCTTTTTTGGTGGAATAGTAAGTGATTCTTCAGGATTAATTAAAGGTTTATGATTTGAGCTCACGAATAAAATCCTCTTTGGTGGAGTGCTTTTCCCAAAGTGGGACTTTTGGTGGGGTGTTTTGACGTGAATTTGAATTAGTTAGGATCTAAATTGGTAATAAAGTTCCTCCAAATTCGACTTAGTTAAGCGGATCGTACACGGGTATGTGATAGAAGAGATGCACGATAGGAAAGCGTGTTAAACGAGTGAGTTGAAAAGAATTGAGTTAATAAATAAACAAATTATGGACGATTCAAAAAGGATAATTAACTAGGTTTGGAAAAGCTAGCAAAAGGATGCCTCTTTTACTATATTTTGGGGTTTTTTCTCAAGTTTTTGCCCCTAAAAGATGTAACATTAGTAACAATTCATTTTACATAATATTCACGTGATAATATTTAGAAATGATCTATGGGCATATTTGAGTTAGTTTTAATTACTAACTTAATTTTACGATGTAATAAATTGAAAGTTGGATAATTAACATGTCATACGTAAATATTTTTAAAGTAACATCGATAATTATAATTTAATACATTTTGTAGATTAACGTGACAGTACTTATTCATTACCAATTTAACTAAATTGATGTACCAAAAGGCCGTGGAAGATTAACTACTCTAACCTTCTTCATTTTATTTTAATTTAATTTTTTCAATTCAGTTTTTGACGCTTCACTCACGTTTAGGTTTTCGCTTGTTGAGAGTCAATTTAATTAATTTTGAAGTTAAATTAAATTAAATTAATTCAATATTATAAAACTAAAATCAGATATTTAAAAACTGCGAAAAGTATCGTATACGATCAATTTTTTAAAAATAATTTGTCTATCAAAAGTGAAACGTGATTAATATTTTAAGACGTAGAGAGTACACGTAGACGTGGAATAGACGATTACGAGAGAATTACAATGAGAAAAAATTGGATGGTATTATAACATTTGTAATTTACTAGTTTGTCTTTTTTGTTTAAATATTTTTAAATTAAATAATCCCTTAAGAAAATAAAATATTCACAAAAGTTAATATCCTATCGATAACAAATAAGTTAAATTAACCTTATTTAAGACTCTCTCTAATTAAAATAATTAGCAGGCTCCAGCAAATGTATAGTTGTATTTTTCTTAGACAAAAACAATGCTATGAAAACAAACAAACTATAAGAATCTAATTATTTTCATATTTTGCCTAATTTCTTATCTAAAACATAGCTTTAACTTCATTAATCATCATTATAGTGAGATTAATAAGTTATTAAGGAGAGAATTAATGAGGGAATTACCAATATGGCTAGTTCTTTTCTTGGTTTTATTTTGTTTTTTTTCTATGCAAGTTATTATTATTAATGGAGAAGAAATATTTCTTGAGTGGCATGTTGATGAAGATTATAATATCAAACCAGTATCTGTGGATCAACCAGTATGATCTCAAAACTCTTCCAAGTTTTTTTTTTTTTTATTATTATTTAGAGTTGTTTTCTATCGGAGGCGTATTTAGAATTTAAATTTATGGGTTCTGAATTAAGAAGCGGAGGAAGATTATAGTTTTTGGGTTTTAGGACAAGGTCTCGAGTGCTAGCAAATGAGTTATAAAATTAGAGGGACTATATATAGTTTCTGAAGTTTGGGATACGATCTCATGAGTTATGAATTTAGAGACGAAGTTAGGATTATAGTTTCTGAATTCTAGGATACGACCTCAAATGATAGTAAATGAATTCTAAAGTTAAAGGCAAAGTTAGGACTATAGCTTTTGGATTTGAGGACACGGTGTCAAGTGTAAGTGAATGAGTTCTGAAGTTAGAATCAGAGTCAGGATTATAGTTTTTAAATTTTAATTAGGATATGGTCTTAAGTGCTAGTAAATGATTCTAAATGTAGAGACGGAGTCTGGATTATAGTTTCTAAATTCTAGGATATAGTCTCAAGTACTAGTAATTGAGATTATCATGAATTTAACTTTTGTATATATGATTCATGAATTTTTTGACAAATATACAATGTCTGAATCCAAGTCACTAGATTTGGCTTAACTCGTTATTCAATTTTATATCCACCTCATTTTTTTTTAATGTTAGTGAGTGCAAACACGAATCTAGGGCGAAGTCAATAGATATAATTTTAGGAGTAACTTACTTCAAGTGCTAGGTATTGAGGTCATCAATTAACTTTAGTACATATTTTCTTTTGATACAATATTTGCACGATCTGAATCAAAGTCACTAGGTTTTGGTGAACTCGTTATTCATGTCTCATCCACCTATGTTTTTTTATGTTAGTGAATGCAAAAGTGGATCTAGGGGGAAGTTAATCAAATTCGTTACTTTACACTCAAATTATATATAGATATGCCAAAAAAATAAAAATACTCATTCAGAACTCACCGACTTTTTTTTTTCCAGGTGATAACTATCAATGGTAAATTTCCTGGTCCTCTACTGAACGCAACCACCAATGATAATATTCATGTCAATGTGTTCAATGATATGGATAAATATCCTGTCCTTATTACATGGTAAATTCTAAGAATATTTTTAATAATGTCAAAACATTATGAGCTAACTTATCGTTAAATATATTGTTTAGTGGTAATTAACACTTTTGTAAATGTCCCTAAAGCCTATAGCAACATTAGATTCAACGACAATTAACTGATATTGGTAAAAATTTAGCGCTCTTTGTTAATGTGCACATTTATTGTTGCTAAAAGCTATTTTTGTTATAGTGTAAGATCACTTCCCCCTGCAAATCCACCCTACCTCCAAACTCACCCCAATTTCTCCTTCCCCTCCCTGTCCCGTCCGGCCCCATCAACTCCACTTCCATACCATAGTGTTCACCTAAATTATGTAAACATACTTTTACAACATATTTTTTCGTGGAAAATATTTTTCTTCGTACCACATACACCCTATAACAAGGAACTTTTTCTTTATTGGGCCTTATAGGAATGGGATCCAACAAAGGCATAACTCGTGGCAAGACGGTGTTTCGGGTACCAATTGCGCGATCCGGCCCAATACTAATTGGACTTACGACTTTCAATTAAAAGACCAAATTGGAAGTTTCTTCTATTTCCCAAGCCTACATTACGAAAAGGCCGGTGGAGCATTCGGCCCAATTCGAATTAACAATCGGGTCACGATCCAACCCCCATTCGCGGAGCCCGAAGGGGATTTCGATCTTCTCATCGGTGATTGGTATGAAAATAGCTTCAAGGTAAATAATCTTATTCATACGTTCCATCCCTTTGTATTGTTACTTCATATTTGATAATAATATAATTCTACGAATATTCAAATATAACTTATTTTCTACATGAAGATATCTAAAACACACATTTTAATAGATTGACGGTTAATTATGACAAGTCATATATCATAAGGACCAAAGCTGAATTTATCATTAACTTAGGGATCAAAAGTGTTGTCATCCTATAATTTATGTTATACTAAATTTTCGTGCTTCATCTTTCTAACAAAAAAGTTATATTTGTTTACATTTATTTTTTTCCTTGCATAAATAAAGTTAAAATTTCCTTTAACTAAATTATTTTAGATTTTTGAAAAAAATGAATAGGTTATTGGAGACAAGTTGGCACATGAAGGCTACAATAAAACTCCAAGCATGATGCTTATGAATGGGAAAGGTTCATATTTAGATCCAAAAGCAAAATCCAATGAATCCTTCACAATAAATCAAGGTAATAAACCCAATCCCCCCCCCCCTCCTTTTTTATTTTTATTTTAAAGATTCTCGTAATGTCGTCCCTATTTTAAAAGTTGTGCAGATATAACTCTTGGGACTGAAAAAACATTAGACTGGCGTCTATAAATTTTTAGATCGCGGTCTAATGTTTTCTCACAATGACCATCTAGTAAGAAATCACAAATTTATTTTTGTACAAACAAATATATATTGACATTTTTTATTATTGATTTTCAGGAAAAACATATAGATTGAGGATTTCAAACGTGGGAAGTGAATGGAGTTTCAATTTTCGAATCGAAAACCATACCATGCTATTGGTGGAAACCGAAGGCTCGTACACCAATCAAATCACGTTAAATTCTCTCGATGTCCACGTGGGCCAATCATATTCTGTTCTTGTCACAGCTGATCAAGATGCTGCTGATTATTACATAGTTGCAACTGCAAAAATGGTTAATTCAACTCAACTCAAAACTCTTCAAGTTATTGGTGTATTACACTATGAAAACTCAACCAAACCTGCTAATGGGCCTATTCCAAATGGGCCTGATCCATTTGATGTGAACTTTTCTATCAGTCAAGCTAGATCCATCAGGTAGGCCCATTTAGTTGCAACATCCAATTCAATTAATTGCCCGTTTTGCCTTGGGTCGATCTTTAAAATTTGTCCTTTAAATGAGCTGATTTTCATTTTTGCCTTTTTGGAATCAAACTTATTCCTAGTGGACATAACTTAAAGTCATGTTCAGATATAACTTGTGAGATATTATGATACGAAAATATAACCCTGTGATTATGATAATCATAAATTAAAGACCAACCAAAATAAGA